CGGAATAGGGTGAGGAAGGCACTGTGCAGACGGGGACAGCTTGAGATGGGAGTTATAGCCCAAGCAGCGTGAGGAGGGTCAGAAGGCATGCAGTGTAGATGGGAGATTGGTTATACACAGGGGATTAATGAAATGAGTGAAAATATTAAGGATAATGGAAGGCAAGTTTCTTACAACTGGAGGAGGGAATTACATCTATGAAAAGGGAGAGGACTAGAATCAAGTCTGTGGTGTTGGATTGGAATTGGGAACATTAATGTGGGAGAATATATATATTCCTTAGCTTTGCCCACTGAGAAGGCCTGAGAGCAGTGACACCCTAGTAGTAATGAGCATACTTATCACTCAGATCTTGGCTTTTAAATACCATTTTCCACAAGAGGAACCAATATTCTTTAGAGAAATGGCTGCTTCCAGGACAGGGTGGGAATGTACAAGATGAGCCTCAACTGCTTTGTTGTGAAAGAATGATGGGGACGTGTCAAAAGGATGCAGACACCAGCTTGCATGGGCTCCCATGGCCAAATCAGGGGCAATGTGCGCATCAAAATTGATAAGGATAGTAAAGGGATGTACCACATTGAACAAAGTAGGAAACCACACGTTTATATTGATAAATTTTCAAATGAATAAATAGAAAGTTTAATGAGGAACAGGAACGTTACATAGTTCCAAAGTACCTACCTACAAAATGCTTTTTTATTACAAAAGCAGGGAAAATAGGGACTGGACTGTGGAGAAGCCTGGCACACACACATCCCTTTCATCAAGTGATCGAAGTGGACATCCTCAAAGCTGCACAAATCGAAATCACCTGACGGGATGCAATGAGAAGACTGCATTGCTTCTGTGATATCCCTGCTGAAGGCACATGACCTTGATTTAATCATGAACATATAGCAGACAAATGCAAATTGAGAGCTATTCCATAAAATATGTGTCAAGGTCAGGAAAGTCAAGGAAAGTTGAGGATTGTTGTAAACTGAAGGAGACCATTGACAACTAGATCCAGCACTTGATCCTGACCTGGATCCTTTGCTGTGATGGGCATTGTCAGAGCAATGAGTGAATCTTGAATCGGGTCTGCCCATTGGATGGTGGCCATGTACAATGTAACAATGCGAATGTCCCGAGTTTGATGCTTGTATAAGGACACTGCCCCTTCAACGTGCATACACATCACCCAGGGATCTTCTTAAGATGCAGATTCTGATGCAGTGGGTCTGGGTGGGGCCTGAGATGCTGCCTGTCTAACCTGTTCCCAGGTGAGGCCCATGCTGCCAGCCAGGGGACCACACTCGAAGTCGCCAGGACCTGGGGAACCTGTGGTGAACACTGTTTGCCTCCTAAACCCACCCCATCACCTCTTTTGGTTCCAGACTCTGGTTTTCCTTTGGGGACAATCTCCTCCCTGCTTTCCGTGCTCCTGTTTTGGGTCAAATGGTCCTCAACGCTCAGACATGAAGCATGTGACCTGGGCCTGCACCATCCCATACCCTGGCCACTGTGAGAGCTTCAAGGCTGGTCCTGAGACCCAGCCAGGGCCAGTGAGACGCAGCTGTAAGACCTGGCTGAGCTGGCACAGCCTCTATAAAACTCTTCACCTTCTGGAACCTTCCTGGGATTCCAAGCCTTACGGTGGCTCAGGCCTTGCCTTCTGCCCTCTAACTTCTGAAGATTTAAAAGGATTATTTGACCCCATGAGATTCCACCACATAGTAGCTGTGTGACCTTGCTCAGCATGCAAATTTGTCTGTGCCTCAGTGTCCTCATCTATGGGATAATGCCCCCCCCCCCACACCGCAAAGGTTGTTGTGAGTGTTTTGTACGGTGCCTGGCTCAGAGTAGATGCTCAACAAATGTTTTAATTATTCAGTTTGGCTTTTGGGGCACATGACCCCACACAGAGAAGAGGGATACAATTCACTGGTAGCTTTTAGGTCATTGTCTGTCTTGACAGAGGCCAAACACAGAGTCCAGGGATTCTAGACGATGAGGCCAAATATCCCACTGGCTATTATGTTCTTGCTTCCTCTGGGCCCTATCCGTTCTTGCCTAGTTTGGAAGCAGCCGGAGTGCCCATCAGTAGACGAGTGGATAAAAAAGCTGTCATACATTTACACAATGGAATACTACTGGACCGTAAAAAAAAAAAAAAAAAGGAAATCTTACCTTTTGCAACAGCATGGATGGCCCTGGAAAGTATTATGCTAGGTGAAATAAGCCAGTCAGAGAAAGACAAATACCATATGATTTCACTTATATGTGAATCTAATGAACAATTAGCCTCACAAACCAAAGAGAAACAGACTCACAGATACAGAGAACAGACTGACAGCTGTCAGAGGGGTGGGGGTCTGAAGGGCTGGGTGAAAAAAGTGAAGAGACTAAGAAAACAAAAACCACACCTCATAGGCACAGACAACAGTATGGTGATTATCAGAAGGAAAGGGAGGGTAGTGGGGGAAGTAGAAGAGGGGGAAAAAGGGGGATAAATGGTGATGGAAGGAGAATTGACTTGGGGTAGTGAACACACAATTTAAAACAATCTTGCATGGCCTAGTTACTCGATTGCTACCTATTTGTTCCCATCCTGTATTGAGTTGCCTATATAAATACATATCAAAAGGAAATAAATGAGCAACATTGTAGGTGTCTCAAGTATGGTTTTCATGCTCCCAGTAATCTTAGGCTCTGGCCAGTGATTAGAAATCCCTTTTGACTGTCTTTATTCTGCTGCCATCCTGTGGCCAGCTTGTGCCACTGCAGCACCGTGGCCAGATGTCACTGAGCAGCTGTGCTCACTGTCCTCCTTGTATACCCCGCCGGGGCTCTTGGGCGGAAGGGAGTGCAGTGGAAAGGTCTGCTCGAGTCCCTCACCAGTGGGCAGGAGTCTGGGCGTGAATCACCAGTCTTGACTTGATTTCTGTTTGATGAACTTTAAGGACACATAGTACAGGGCCACGAAGCCACCACTGATGCCGATGAGGATGAAGTAGATGGCGTAGAGTGGGTACGAGTTCAGGTGCATATTGCTGAGGATCTGGGGACACAGACATCAGTGAGCGCATGGAGAAGGTGGTCAGACGGGTGCCATGTGCTAGGCGTCCGAGCCCTCGGCTACTTACTTTGTCTCCCGGGATAGGGAAGGTGAGGTTGCCGACTACCAAGTGGTAAGTTTGCCCTTTAAAATGAATCTGCATCAGCCCTTCAAAACACCATCGGAGGAAGGACACGTTGGAGATCCAGGCGGGCACTGAGGACAGAGAGAGCCGCGTTATTCACACCAGCGGACCTCCTGCTCCCCGCGAAGTGTGCCTGCAGAGGGCCCTGCTGGCCCTGCCCCTGGGGAAGCAAGTCCCCAGAAGGAGCAGGGAGGGGAGTGGACAAGAGGGTGAAAGGGCAGAGGGGCAGCTTGGGACAGGGGAGGGAGTGGGGGTGGCGAGTGGCTGCGGGGTCAGGGCGTGTTGGTCCATAACAACTCCAGAGAGTAGGTTATTAGGTGTCCCTCCCAGCACGCGCTCAGCCTCCCCGAGCGGACGGGCTGTAGAGACTCAGCAGACCCAGACGAAGATTTCTGAGTCTGTGTCCTGACCCTGTGGAGGTCTGAGGGTGAGGGGAGGAGAAGGAACACTGAGCCCTGCCTGGGAGGGTCAGGAAAGGCCTGGCAGAAGGAGCCAGGAAGGTGGGGAGTGGTGTTCCCATGGAGAGGAGGCCTGGGGTGTGTGGTGTGGGGGCTTCAGAGATCTGGGTGCAGGCAGCAGGGGGTGAGCAGCCTGCCTGCCCCCGTGGGTTTGTCCTTAGAAAGCTCACTCTGCATGGGGAAGGTTGAGAGGGACGTGGAGGGACCAGGGTACAGAGACCAGGCTATGGCCTTGGCCCAAGACCGGATGATAAGACCAGGGCTAGGGGGTAAGGCGATGAAACATTTCAGAAAGATGGGGGAGGCAGAATTGGCCTGTCTCGCTGTGATGTGGAGGGTGAGGGAGTCAGGGGTGACGCCCAGGTGTCAGGTGAGGGTTATTCCCTCGGCATGCAGGACAGCTGGCCCTCAATGGTGAGTTCGCACCTCCAGGCTGAAGCCGCAGAAGGCCTCCACCAGCTTGACCAGGTGAGGGGAGCAAGCCTCACCTGTCCACAGGTTGCTCAAGCTGATCATGAAGCCCCCGGTCAGGTAGAAGGAGTTGTAGAGAGCGTTGCCGAAGAAGGAGGACATGTGGAAGGTGGGGAGCAGGGCGGCGGCGCACAGGGCCATGAGCCGGCAGCAGAACACCACCAGCCACACCAGCAGGAAGTGCAGCAGGAAGGGCTCGGGGCTCGGGCGCAGGTTGGCCAGCCAGTAGGTGGGCATCCCATAGATGAGGATGTAGACACAGTGCTCCGGGAGCTCCCCGAGGATCTGCAGAGAGCAGCCCTTGCCACCATGTGGAGCCAGCGCCTTGGTCTGCCACTATTCTTTAGAAACGGCTGGAGACAGCAACTCCCAGCGATGCCCACCGTCCCTCCCAGTGATCAGGCTGCAGCAGGTGGGTGCGGGCGGGTGGGACCCTGCAGCACAACCTCACGGCTGGCTCCCCCTGCAGATGCCAGGTGCTCCCTCTGGGACAGGTCAGAGCAGTTTCCCCAGGGAGGCAGTGGGTATCTGCTCCAATAAGACCTGGATTCCTGTCCCCACGGCGCCTGCCCAGACACAGGAGCTGTGTGACCTTGAGACAGACACACAACCTCCCTGAGCCTCCACTTCCTGGAAATGACAACGGTAGCACCTGCCGGACCTGCTCCAGGGGACACGGTGGGACTGGAGAGGTGACGTAAGTTAGATGTTCCCACCTTTTCTTTTGTCGGTTTCTGCTGACCAGGAAAGTGTCATTCCTGGTCCACAGCCCTGGACTTCTGGTAAGTGTTTACAAAACATCAAGTCTCCGAAACTCCCCTAGGGAATGTGGCGTCTACCACCCCTGGTTCAGCAAAATGCTTCTCTGTAACTTCTGTATAA